TAGCTCAGGGCTGTTACCTCTGCCTGGTAGAGGCTCTCCAGGAGGTCAGGTAGGTGACCGTTTAGCCAATAGAAAGCTGTTACCAGGATACATCTCTAAACCTGTCAACCACTTTAGAGGACAATTTTCAGCTGCTGCAAGTTAATAACTTCTGCCAGCTTAAGCAACAATCCTGATAACAAACTGGCCGGTGGGGGTGATGACTTCTATAGTCGAGAAAGCTGACACTTAGGCAGAAAACCCCTCTCATGCAGGAGACCAGTTTCTTGACACAGAGTCAGAAGGGATCCTAGAGGTCACCTACTCCAACCCCTTTGCTCAGTGCAGGAATTAGTCAACTACAGCACCTCACTCTGCTTAAAGGAATGCACACCTTTAAACAAATGTTTAAAATGACTGAAAAAAGCATTAACAGGAGACATTCTAGTGGGGCTATGGCTTTAAGAAAGGGGGTGGAGGCCCCAAAAGCCCCACCGTAGCTACAGGCCTGAAGTGCGGTCAAGTCGCAGCCAACTTATGGCGACCTTGTCAGGTTTTCAAGGCAAGAGACTACCAGAGGTAGTTTGCCACTGCCTACCTCTACTTAGCAGCCCTGGACTTCCTTGGTGGTTTCCCACCCAACTACTAACCAGGACCGACCTTGCTTAGCTTCCGGGATTGGATGAGCTTGAGCTAGCCGGGCATATTGAGCTTGAGCTAGTCAAGGCCTATTAAAGTAAATATCACTCTACTATTCCACAAACTGCATTCACACAACCACAGAGTTTGAAAGGACTCTATGGAAAAGGTAATGCAATGTTTCCCAAATTTCTGAGAGCTGAACCACACTTTCCTAACAAACTAAAGTTGGATATACCCCGAAAGAATAAAAGTGTAAGAATTCTCCACCTTCACAGGAACCTATCCTTGTGCTTCTGTACTAGCTGAGCATTGCTCCTGATAAGAGGCACTTTGCCACTTATGATCACTTAATTAGCTTAGTCATAGTTGATGCAGCATGGCAGACTTACTGTGGACAAGCCCAGCACAATGAATCCTGCAGAGATGCAACAGGCATCCTCCTACATAGCCAGTGACTTTGGGCACACTAGGGGCTTCGATTAATTTACGTCTTGGGTCCAGCCGTTCTCACAGCACACTTGCTTGGGGCCCAATCCCATGTCTTGTGTCCTGAGACAAGGCAGCGCGGGCTAAAGGCCTAGTGACTAGGAACTCTGGGCCTGTTCTGCCTCGCTTAGTTAAACAAGTTGCCTCCAATGTTCCCTCTAAGCTGTGGAGTCTTGTGAGCAAAAATTCTACTTCGTGAGCTACCGGAATTAAAGTTGTGAGCCAGCCATTTGGCTACTGCATAAATTGGTTTGCTCTGGAGCCATCCTGCCTGAGCTAAGACAAAAATGTGTGAGCCAGAGGCTAAAAAACTGTGAGCTAGCTCACACTAACTCAGCTTAGAGGGAACAGTGGTTGCCTCTACCTCAAAACAGATTTTTGAGACCGCTGAGAACAGACGGAAGAAAAGAGCGCAGAAAGGGAGCTCGCTTTGGGTTGTCTTCCAAGCCTTTGCCCATTCTGTTTCTTTTTCTTTTCTTTTTTGGTTCTACATACTTTTATTAGGTTTAAAGGTAAAGGCAAAGGATCCCTTGCTCGAAAGCCAGTCGAATCCGACTCTAGGGTTGCGGTGCTCATCTCAGTTTCAAAGCCGAAGAGCCAGCGCTGTCCGAAGACGTTTCCGTGGTCATGTGGCCTGCATGACTAAACACCAAGGCGCACGGAACGCTGTTACCTTCCCACTGAAGTGGTACCTATTTATCTACTTGCAATTTCTTGCTTTCGAACTGCTAGGTTGGCAGAAGCTGGAACTAGAGACAGGAGCTCACTCCGTCATGCGGCACACTCGGGTCTTGAACTGCTGAACTACCAGTACTTCCACAGCCTGCAGTTCAGCGTCTTAACCACTTGAGCCACCGCAGCTCCTTTTATTAGGTTTAGAACTGGACAAATCACAAGTGTACAAAATGGGAGAGTCACGCTATTGAAGCAGAGGATTGTGGGTCGCAGCAAGCGTGTCTCTTGACCAAAAAGCGTTCAGCGGGAGAAAAGCGTAAGCTGATTGGGCGAGGACAGGAAAGAAGACGCGAAACTTAACTGACCAATTGTGGATTGCAGGAAACATGTCCTGCGCTTGGTGCTCTGACCCAAAGTCAGCTTGCTAGTTTGCTTTTTAATTCCTTTTTAAGATTTGGGCATTTAAGTTCTAAACTGGTGGAGAAGGAAGGCGCTGGCTTAGTCAGCTATCAGAGCTGTAAGGACCTCTGCCCTTCAAAGAGTTTGAAATGCTGTGCTGTCCCGTCCCCCCCACAACCTCCCAACGAGAAAAGCCAATCCTCAGCCTTTTTGGTCACACAAACCTTCCCAAAGTAGGACTCTGTGCTCAAGCTGCTGTAGAAAAACAACAACAGAAGTGCCCCTTCTCAAGGCGAGTCTTTATTTGCTATCAGAAGGGATCGAAACATCTTTTTTTCAAAATGCTGAATTCTGTGCCCGATATCAAGTTCTGTGCTTTCGAATGCCAGAACGAGGAACAGACATAACAAAGCCTTGGAGAACAAGGCTCTAATGTGATTAGTTCTTTGACCTATGCAGCCCTTTGTCACCAGGGTTGGACTCAGATGTTGAAGCAGCCCTGAAGCAAGCAAGAACCCTGTGGCCCCTGTGTAGGCTCGCCAGCTCTGGATTGGGAAATACCTGGAGGTTTGGGAGGTGGAGACTGAAAAGGGGTCGATTTAGGGAGGGGAGTGACCTCAGCACGGTTCAGTGCTGTGGAGACCACCCTCCAAAGCAGCCAGTTTCTCCAGGGGGACTGATCACTGTCACCTGGAGATCAGCTGTAAAAGCAGATCTAGTCAGGTCCCTCCTGGAGGCTGGCAACAATATCCCTGTGGTGTTCCGATTAGACAAAACTAGCCCTGCTGCCATCGTGCCCGGTCCTGGTCTGTGCCAAATGAACCCCCACTGGACTCAATTTCTTCCAGGTTGTCAGTGGCCCTTCTGGAACTTTCCTGGTATGTGAAAGGGCTGATTCGCCCTGGCCTGCAACACTGCGGTTGACAGCAATATTGCCACGATACAACGGCGAACCTTCAAGTGGCATTTGCAGAACTGATCTGAGTCTTCTGAAACAGCTGAGAAACAGCTTAAGAGAACATAAGAACACAAGAAGAGCCCTGCAGTAGATCAGACCAAGAGTCCATTGAGTCCAGCTTCCTGTCTCACACAGGGGCCGACCGGTTCCTCTGGAGGGCCAATAATAGGGCAGAGAGGACGAGGCCTTCCCCTGATAAGAATATAAGAACAGCCCTGCTGGATCAGACCAGTGGCCCATTTAGTCCAGCCTCCTGTCTCACACTGGGGCCAGCCAGTTCCTCTGGAGAGCCAACAACAGGGCAAAGAGGCCGAGGCCTTTCCATGATAAGAACATAAGAAGAGCCCTGCTGGATCAGACCAATAGTCCATCTAGTCCTGCATCCTGTCTGACACAGTGGCCAACAACAGGGCCCAGAGGTCATGGCCTTCCCCTGACATTGCCTCCTGGCTGTCTGACACAGTGGCCAACAACAGGGCCCAGAGGTCATGGCCTTCCCCTGACATTGCCTCCTGGCTCTGAGGTTCAGAGGATTAGTGCCTCTGAATGTGGAGGTTCCCCTGAGTCACCTCTCCTCCATGAATCTGTCTAATCACATAGGAACATAAGAAGAGCCCTGCTGGATCAGACCAGGGGTCCATCTAGTCCAGCATCCTGTCTCACACAGGGGCCAGCCAGTTCCTCTGGAGGGCCAGCAACAGGGCACAGAGGCCGAGGCCTTCATAAGAACACAAGAAGAGCCCTGCTGGATCAGACCAGGGGTCCATCTAGTCCAGCATCCTGTCTCACACAGGGGCCAGCCAATTCCTCTGGATGGCCAACAACAGGGCACAGAGGCCGAGGCATTCCCCTGATGCTGCCTCCTGGCTCTGGGATTCAGAGGATTAGTGCCTCTGAACGTGGAGGTTCTCCTCAGGCACTATGGGTAGTAAAAAAGATAAAGGTTCCCTTGCTCGAAAGCCAGTCGAATCCGACTCTAGGGTTGCGGTGCTCATCTCCGTTTCAAAGCCGAAGAGCCAGCACTGTCCAAAGATGTTTCCATGGTCATGTGGCCGGCATGACTAGACACCAAGGCGCACGGAACGCTGTTACCTTCCCACCGAAGTGGTACCTATCTACTTGCAATTTCTTGCTTTCGAACTGCTAGGTTGGCAGGAGCTGGAACTAGAGACGGGAGCTCACTCCGTCATGCGACAACTCGGGTCTCGAACTGCTGAACTACTGACCTTCCACAGCCTGCAGTTCAGCGTCTTAACCACTTGAGCCACCGCAGCTCCCACTATGATGGGTAGTAGCCACTGATAAACATCCTCCATAAATCTATCTAATCACATAAGAACGTAAGGAGAGCCCTGCTGGATCAGACCAGTGGTCCATCGAGTCCAGCATCCTGTGTAGCACAGGGGCCAACCAGTTCTTCTGGACTGCCAACAACAGGGCATACAGGCCGAGGCCTTCCCCTGATATGAACGTAAGAAGAGCCTGCTGGATCAGACCAGGGGTCCATCTAGTCCAGCATCCTGTCTCACACAGGGGCCAGCCAGTTCCTCTGGAGGGCCAACAACAGGGTATAAAGGCCCAGGTCTTCCCTTGGTGTTGCTTCTTGTCTCTGGGATTCAGAGGATTTGTGCCTCTCATTGTGGAGGTTCCCTTTAGTCACCATGGCTAGTAGTCACTGATAGGCCCAATCTATCCAATCGCATAAGAACGTAAGGAGAGCCCTGCTGGATCAGACCAATGGTCCATCCAGTCTCACACAATGGCTAGCAGCCATTGATAGACTGATCCTCCATAAATCTCTCTAATCCTTTAAGAGGGACTGAGAACGTGCAGAAGATTGCGGCCTGTTCGGCGGCCTTACCGGGTGTCCTCTGGCTCCGACAGGCACTCCACCGTGCTGGGCTTCTGTTCCATTCACCGCAATTCCATCCAGGACCAAGAAGGAGAGACCGAGGTGGGCTCCGCCCCCAGAGGCGACTCTCCGCGGCCGCCACGACAGATGTGGGTTCAGGATTCGGGAGGGGGGGTGTTACCTGGAGCTAGGAGGCAGACCCCATCGCGGCTCCTCAGCGTTGGTGAACGTCAAACATTCTGGGCAAAACGCTGGGGAGGAGCCCTGCGAAGACAAAGAGAGAGAGGCTTGTGGCCTTCTTCAAACTTTTTTTAAAAAATTCACCCACCCTCAAGTCTCTGTGACATCAGAACAAAGAAAAGTTTTGTTTTTGTTTTTTAAAAAAACATGTTTAATTGATCTTTGCTACCCTCCTGCATTACGGTCTTGAATTCCGGAGCTGTTCCCCTCCCCCCCAGTCAATCCCAAACAGAGTTCCCTCTAAGCTGAATTAGTGTGAGCTAGCTCACTGTTTTTTAGCCTCTGGCTCAGACATTTTTGTCTTAGCTCAGGAAGGAGTGTTCCGGAGCAAACTAATTTATGCAGCAGCCAAATCGTTCGCTCACAGCTTTAATGACAGTAGCTCACAAAGTAGAATTTTTGTTCACAAGTCTCCACAGCTTAGAGGGAGCATTGCAAGGCCACGTACTCCCAAAATCTAAACTGTGGCGGGTGATTTACGCCAAAGAATTTTGTCTTTGCATCTGATTGCTTATACTGCATCATAGAATCATAGAGTTGGAAGGGACCTCCAGGGTCATCTAGTCCAACCCCCTGCATGAAATTCACAAATACCCCTCCCTCCTCACCCCCAGTGACCGCTGTTCCATGCCCAGAAGATGACAAAAAAAACCCCTCCAGGATCTCCAGCCAAACTGGCCTGGAGATTATATTGGCCCCGGTCACACAGAGAATTTGCTGTGCGAAAGGCATTAATGTCTGGTGGATTTTTGGGGCGCAATCACACCGCAACATCTGGGAAGCGTAGCACACCCGTGGCCAACCCGTGGCATCCCGCCGAAGATGCGGAGTTAAAAAGTACCAGGAAAGTGCACTAGTATCCGGAAAGTGTGTGGAACAGGCAGGCGTCTGATCGCAAGAGCGCTAGTATCCCGTGGCATCTGGTGCCCGTCCACGTCCCGTCGCAAACTGATGTTTTTCGTAAGCACATGCGCACAAACACAAAACTGAAAGCAGTGCTGCTCCGTGAAACGCTTGTGTGATCGCGCTGCACCACTTCTTTGCAGCATTACCATGTGATCGCCAGCTAACAGCCTAAGCACGGAGACTCGTAGGACCGTGTGATTGGGCTACCGCACTTTATTTTGCTCCGGGGTGAACAGCCACGCCTCCCCCCACCCCACATTATCTGGCCCGTGTGACTGGGGCCATTGTTGTTCAGCAAGGACAAAGGTGGGGGGGCAGAGAGGGAGGAAGAAGAAAGGAAGGGGGAAACAGACTACTGGAGGATCAATACATTGTGGTACCAAGTTCAGCCAGCATAGTACAGTGGCTGGCACCTTGAATTTGGATGGGGATCCCTGGGTTGAGATCTCTCTCCACTCCTGTGTTGCTCACAGAGGGTCTAACCAGGGAATACACTGAGAGTTGTGCGTCAAACCAAGATTCTACCTAGCCCAGCATTTAGATTCCACCAATGGCCAACCAGATTGACGCTCACAGCAGAATGGAGTTCCCACCCCCATTACATCTGACATTCAGAGGTACATTGCTTTTGAACATGGAGGTTCTACTTAGCTATCACAGTTAACAGCACTGACAAATGCAAACTTTTTTGGAGGTTGTTAAGATGACAGTGGCCATCGCTATAACCCATGACACGGGAATCTAGAAATACACTGTGCAATGCGTACCCTCATTTGCTACGGGTAAGTAGAATGTTGTGTAAAGGCAGGACTATTTTAAAGGGAAATTTGGAATTGTCCGATGGTACATGATGGTAATTCACGTGCATTGCTACTCCGCACCTGTAGATTTCCTTGGGTGTGCACAAATGCTTTGCTGCTTAGAGCCACACTTCCTGACATTTAGAAGCCTAACATAGAGTGGGTGGAATATCCTCGCAACTGAAAATTTCATAGCACTTAATGCAGAACATCTGAATTTTAGAACTCCACACTCCCCCTTAGAACTGCACATTCGGTGTCCCGTTGTGCATTAAAACAAAAACAGGCCTGGGTCAAGAGGTCCGTCCCCTCCACAGCCACCAATGGCGAAAGATCCTCTGACTCCTGGCGGTGCTCTGCTTCAGCACTGAGAAATATGTACAGTCTCCACAAAGAACACCCAGCCAATAGCAGAAAATGACTAGGCTGGGGGAAAATTTAGAGTCCAGTGACACCTTGAAGACCAACCAAGTTTTATTCAAGGTATGAGCTTTCGTGTGCACGCATGTGTGCAAGCTCGTGTGCAAGCTCATACCTTGAATAAAATTTGGCTGGTCTTCGGTATTTGAAAAAGTGTGCATGCACACAGAAGCTCATACCTTGAATAAAACTTGGTTGGTCTTAAAGGTGCCCCTACGGGACTCTAAAATTTCTTCTGCCGCTTCAGACCAACACGGCTGACCACCTGGATCTAGGCTGGGAAAAGACAGGAGATGCGTCGGGAAGCTGCTGGACTGGTTGAAGTAGCCCTAACCCGTTTGTATCTCAAGCCTTTTCCATTTTTAACGTTCTGCCTCACTGCACAAGGACTCCACATACATTTAAATAAACATACGTAAACATGATGGGTGGGGGTGGGGGTGGGCAATGCTCTCACCTATCCCCTCGTGGAAAGGGAGCACTGACCCAAGAAGACGTGGCTTTAGACTGGAGCTTCCTAGCTCTCACCCCCTCTGAGCTAGCGAGCTCTCCCACCCAATACCCCTGGTGCAAAAGCCCACTGCTCACCCAGAAGCCTGTTTTCAGTGCAACATTTCCCAGTCTCAGAACACAGGGAGAGCGACGTATCTTCCTGCAACCAGCTCGTACTCCATTCTGGGGCCTGGTTGGAACTTCAACCTCCCACAGTGTGCCAGACAGGATCGCTAGCCTCCAGGTGGGGACAGGTGATCTCATACGAACGTAAGAGAAGCCAATGCTGGATCAGGCCAAAGGCCCATCTGGGCCAACACTCTGTGTCACACAGTGGCCAAAAATACCAGGGGCCATCAGGAGGTCCAGCAGTGGGGCCAGGAGACTAGAAGCCCTCCCACTGTTGCCCCCGCCCCCCAAGCACCAAGAATACAGAGCATTCCTTGCCCCAAATTGAGATTTCCTATGTAAACCTTGCGGCTAATAGCCACTGATGGATATGATAGCCACTGCTCCATAAGTTTATCCAGTTCCCTCTTGAAGCCGTCCATGCTTGTAGCCACCACCACCTCCCATGGCAGTGAATTCCATGTGTTGATCCCTCTTTGGGTGAAGAAGTACTTCCTTTTATCCGTTCTAACCCGACCGCTCAGCAATTTCATTGAGTGCCCAATCTCCTGAAATTACAGCCACTCTCCAGGCAACAGGGATCAGTTCCCCTGGAGAAAATGGCTCCTTTGGAGAGTGGAGTCTCTGTGGCATTATATAGCGATGAGTTCCCTCCCCTCCTCAAACCCCGTCCTCTCCAGGCTCCAACCCCGGAAGCTCCTGGTACTTCCCGGCCCAGAACTGGTTAGTGCAAGACAAACCCCCCCCCCCAGACCTCTCATTTTAGAAATCCCCCACCAGAAACTTCGGCCCTTAATAACAGAAATGTTTGTACACCAGGAGGTTGCGCTGGAAAACAAAGAGGGCCACAGAGACAGGAAGGGGAGACCGAGGCACCAAAGCACAAAAAGAGAGTCAGGGAGATGCCTGCCTCAGTTTCCCCAGCACACCTTGCCGCTGACGTGAGCTGCGATTTCCTGGCGATTCCTCCTTTCTGCTCCAGGCAGGGGTTAAGCGGAGGTTAACAGGCAGCCACTAAGCCCCCTCCTCTCCTCCCCCTGCAGCTTGCACTTTCCCCACACAAATTTCTTGCCTCCCCCTCCCCAATACAGTTTGTAAGGAAACCTGCCGCTCTCTGGCACACTGCCCAAACCGTGTTACATCATCAAAGGGAAAAGGGAAAAGAGCAAGGGCCCACCAGCCTCCCCAGAGGGAAACGGAGTTGGGGAGGGGGAGAAAGAGGGAGGCCCAGCTGTGTCCTCGAATGACCTCCTCCATAGGGATTAGACCCTCCTGGAATGGACTGAGAGGAGGGGGGGGAGCAGCATAGGGGGACTGGCTAATTTGGAGACTGGGGGGGTGGCATCGTGTGCAGGAGCGGGGGCCAGCCTTTGCCAATACCCTTTGCCCAGCAAGATGCAAATAACTGGGGAGGGGGGAGGTTGGGGGCAAGAGGAAGCAGCCCTCTGGCGCCCTGGTCAACAAAGACCCACAAGGAGGTGCGGGAGAACTCTTGCATAAGGGTTCCTCCTCCTCCTCCTTGCCAGTCCCTCCCAAATCGGTAGAAATTGTGTGAGCATCTATCTTTTGAACGGATGGGAGCTGTCTTAGTAGAGCCAGTTTGGTTGTAGGGGTTAGGAGTGTGGATTCTAATCTGGGAGAACCGGGTCTGATTCCCCACTCCCCCGCATGCAGTTGCTGGTGTGACCTTGGCTCAGTCACAAGTTCTCTCGGAGCTGTTCTCTCGCAAGCAGTTCTCGAAGGAACTCTCTCAGCCCCACCTACCTTGCTATTTATCATGCAGTCAGACACACCACCAAGTGAGGCAAATCTTAAGTCACAGCAGTCAATAATTCAATCGACTAGTTTGGAATCTGCAAACAGGTCTTCAAAAGCTGGGCAGAACAAACCTGGCAGTGTGTTCTGAAAGCCCGTGAGGATGAATGTGGGGGGGGGGAGGACCCTGCTAGGGCTGCCAGCTCTGGGTTGGAAAATTCCTGGAGATTTCGGGGTGGAGCCTGGGGAGGGACCTCAGGAGGGTGTCATGCCACAGAGGAGATGGCCCTCCAAAGCAGCCGCTTCCTCCAGAGGAGCCGGACTCTGTCGTCCGGGGCAGTGTTCCCTCTCAGCTCAGTTAGTGTGAGCTAGCTCAGAGTTTTTTAGCCTCCGGCTCACACATTTTTGTCTTCGCTCAGGAAGGAGGGCTCCAGAGTGAACGAATTTACGCAGCAGCCAGATTGCTCATTCACAACTTTAATGCCAGGAGCTCACAAAGCTCACAGGACTCCACAGCTTAGA